TTCCTTCTCTTCCACAGGGAATTGAAACACCAATAAGTTAAATTAATTACAGCTAGATCCCAAGGTCCTACATCCATATGGAAGACTACACAGATTTGAAGCTCTAATTATACTTTAAATATTGCACACTGAATCACATGCCTTGATCCACCTCATGTAAAAGAATTAACTTCCAGACAGACTCTGGGTTAGAGCAGGAATGACAAGCTAAATGGCCTTAAATATACCCCTGACTGGAGCTGTAGCTCATATTAGAAAGGCTGGATCACTTTTTATAACCAGCTGCTTATACAGTTTATTTTTATCTGGGTCTTTATGCTTTTATTTCATTACATTATAGGGTTTTCACCTGCATAGCTGGCAGAGTGCACTCTTTCATTTCAGATCATACAAGGTGTGTGATCATGGCAACAGTAACTATGCTGTGAATTTTCTTTTGTCATGTTTAATTGACTGGTCATTTAGGAACCAGCTTGGCCAGAGGAACAGAGAAACTCGACTAACAGCTATCTTCTACTCAAACATCAGATTCACAAAAGCATTTTTTAAATCTCTAATTATGAATTAAAATCTGGAAGAAGCTTTCCAAGTGAACTATCTTAACATATCACAGACTTTTGTTTTGTTATTAAGCTGTGCTTGTTGCTAAGGAAGAACAGAGAAGATCAAAGGACTTCTAACAACCAGAAACTCAAAGGTGAGGGAGTTTTGATTTCTTTAAAGATTTAGCACTGACCTACAATGGTTGTTAGTTCATAGTTCTATGAAAAGACTGAAATTATGTGAGCCTGCTTTGCTATTTCCTATTTATTTCCATCAAACAATACCTCAATTCACTTTTTGATTAGCAACATGATCAGGCATTCAAGCAGCCTGTTTACAAACCCATATGCAATTGAAGTCCTAAGGACTAAAAAAGAAGAACTTGTACAAGGCATAAATGACCCAGAGCAGCTCCTGCACTGGCTGGTAGAAAATGGGATTTTTACCCCAGAAAAAAAGCTGATCCTGAGTTTCTACAGGACACGAACAGCAAAGAACTCTCGGGTGTTAGACATACTCATTTCTCAAGGTGAACGAGCCTGCAGGCTCTTTTTTTATCCATGTTTAAAGCAAGTGGAGCCAAAACTTTACAGCAAGATAAGAAAATACGTCAGTGAAGTAAATGAAAGCATTGGAGATGCCAGAAGACAGTTGGTTGGGTATTTACTTGAAAAAGATAAAGTGTGGTTTGAAAACAGCAGCGAGCAGCACCAGGGGAACAAAGACAGACCTGGGGGAAAAAAGCACAAAGGGGCTCTTAAGAAGAAAGGAAAAGTAACTCCACTTTCAAGGGCAACAAAGCCTAGAAATGATCCTGCTGCTGTTGACATCTTTGCTGCAGTAGCTAAAGGCTCCCTTCCTGAGTTAGAGAAAATACTGAAGGACAATGACCTCCATGTGCTAAACCCCTCCAGTGAAACACTTCTGCACGTTGCAGCTGCTCATGGCCATCTCTCCATCGTGGCACATTTGCTGAGCAAAGGTGCAAGGACAGGTGTGAAGGACAGGAGAGGGAGAACAGCCCTGCACAGGGCTGCTCAGAAAGGCCATGGAGGGGCAGTCAGGCTGCTTCTCGGAGCTGGGGCTTCCATGCACACTCTGGATGTGGAAGGCAAGACACCACTTCACTGGGCTGCAGAGAATCACCACAGCCACATCGTGAGGATGCTCCTGAAAGAGGAGGCAAGGAGCTGCAGGAATCAGCACACCTTTTTACACATGGCAGCTCTTAGGGATGAGAGCAGCCTGGCCAAAATGCTTTTAGAGGCCGGTGCCTCCACGGAAGGGAAGGATGAGAGAGGACAGACTGCTCTGAGTTATGCTGTTTCTCAGGGATCTGAAAACACTGCAAAAGTTCTTCTAGAAGCTGGGGCCACTGTTGATTCCAACACGGTTGAAAGAGCCTTCAACAGCAACCACCCATCCATCTTCAAAGTACTCCTGGAATATTCTAAAGATTTGCCTGCTGACATAATGGAGTTAGCTCTTTTTAGAGCTGTACAGAAGAATCTGCACAGCGTTGTAGCAGCTTTAATTGACAGAGGCACAGATGTCAATGCCCACAACAAAAAGCACTACACTCCTTTGCTGCTGGCCTGTGAAATGGGCAAAGCAGAGTCAGCAGAAGTTCTGATGGAAAAAGGAGCAAAGCTGGGAATAAGGACTCCTGCTGCAGACACAGCTCTGCACTTGGCAGCGCGGGCTGGGGCTGCTGCCATCGCAGCTCTGCTGCTGAGCAGGGGCATGGACACCAACGTGAGGAACCAGGCTGAGCAAACCCCGCTGCACGTCGCTGCCCTCCGCAACCACGGGGCCCTCGTCGGGCTCCTGCTCAGCGCTGGGGCCAGAGTCAACGCTGTCACCAAGGACTCTGCCACCCCTCTGCACATCGCCAGCCACAGAGGTCACGCTGAGGCTGCCCGGCAGCTGCTGCACCACAAAGCTCCTGTCGATGCTCAGGACAAGCAGGCAAAGTCCCCTCTGCATCTGGCTGCTGAGCAGGGACACAGAACGCTGGCAGAGATGCTCCTGAAGGCCAGAGCTGACCCCAACGCACAGGACAAGGAGAAGAAGACTTCCCTGCACGCTGCAGCTCTGAGAGGACACCTCAGCATCGTGGAACTGCTGTTGGCTAAGAAGGGCAGAGCTGGAGCTAAGGACATGGACGGATGCACCCCGCTGCACTATGCCGCCATGAGAGGAAACACAAACATCCTAAAACTTCTCCTGGCCTCGGGGAAAAATAAAAACATCAACGCCAGAAACGTCTGGAGGAAGACAGCCCTGCACATTGCAGCAGAGTACGGACATGGAGAGCTGATAAATGTCCTCCTGAGCCACGGGGCTGCCATCAATGCCTCGGACAGCAGCAGGGACACTGCCCTGCACTGCGCCTGCAGGGCCGGGCACCTCAGCGCTGTCAGCGCCCTCCTCAGCTGGGCACAGGGCGAAAAGGCAAATGTACTGGCTGTCAACAGCCTCAGAAAAACCCCACTGCAAGTAGCAGAGTTTAATAAAACAGAAAACCAGGCTGAAATTTTAACGCTGTTGAGAAAGAAAATGTTAATAGCAAAATGAAGATGTAAAGGAAAAAACTATACATTTAAGTGCAGAATTCTCTTTAATGTAATTTGGATAGTCCTAATGTGGAATATGATTGAGAATTATGCTTGAGCTGGCAGAATTAAATTAGCAAAGGGGATCTTGGGGAAAAAAGGATCTTAAAGACACTGTTAAACTTTAAAGCACTGATTAGTCTTCTGCTTCTCTCATGAACCACATATTTGGGATGTATATAAAATGTTCTTTCCTTATAAACATTGTGTTTAAATTCTTCTAATATAAATCAAGACAAAGACAGAAAATATTTTTTCATATATCCGTGAACATTAGCCTGTATGGATAGCTTAGTTAGGCACTGTTTGGTAAAATCACAAGTTAAAAAACCATCTATTATGAATAGGAAGATGTCTGTATTTCCTCAAGGTATTCCTGAGACTACAACAATTATTAGCAATTATTTTTCTTTCTATGTTTTGTCATACCATTGTCTAGAGTTTGCATTTTTAGATAGAGAGAACAAAACCCATCACATTTGCCATTTATTAATTTCACTTTCATTCCAGCACAGAGACAAAATACGTAGAATAAAAAGGTTGCAACAGAGTTTCTTGGTTCAAAATATTTGTATTGATATGACAACACAAATATCAACAGAAACACCTTCTGAATCAACAGAAAGTTCTCTGGGGTTATTTCCCTAATAATGATAATCAACCCTTACACTTGCCTTCAGATTACAAGCCAAGTTACCACAAACACCCAAACACCTTTTGAGAAATGAAACACAGATTTAAGAATGCATGAGACTAAAACTGATCTTTTGTTATTGTTAAAACAACACCTTAACCTGACCCTTGCAATGCCCAGTGAAGGAACAGACACGACCATGAACTTGAAGGACACAGGGGCACACAGCCCATGTGGGCTCAGAGGGTCACAGAACCATTTAGGATGGAAAAGACCTCCAAGACCATAGAGTCAAACCTGTAAGCAATCATCACCTTGTCAACCATGTCCAGTCTTTTCTTAAACACCTCCAGGGATGGGGACCGAATCACCAACCTGGGCAGAGTGTTCTAATGTTTAATCACTTCTTCTGTGAAGAATTTTTTCCTAATATCCAATCTAAACCTCCCCTGGTGCAACCTGAGGCTGTTTCTTCTTGTTCTGTCCCTTGTTCCCTGGGAGCTGAGCCTGATCCTCGGCTAACCCTCCTGACAGGGAATTGTGGAAAAAGTCCCTCCAAGTCTCCTTTTCTTCAGGCTGAACTACCCGAGCCACTCCTCACACTGGTGCTGAGGGCCTTCCTCAGCTCTGGACACCTCCAGCCCCGCCATGTCCTTCTCACAGTGAGGGGCCCAGACCCGCACACATCTCTGAGGGTGCCCTCACCATGTGTGCTCCAGCACCCACATCTCTGAGGGTGCCCTCACCATGTGTGCTCCAGCACCCACATCTCTGAGGGTGCCCCTCACCAGTGCTGCAGTCTCCCATCGCCGCCTCCCGCACCTCCCTCAGGTCCCGCCTGACTGTCACCCATTTTCCCTTGGCTCTCAGCCCAGCAATGTCTCCTCAGCGGCAGCCATGTCCGATCAGTCCGTCCATGCCCCTTCAGCTCTCGGGCATGTCCCCTCAGTCCGGCCGTGGCGCCTCAGCTCCCGGCCATGCCCACTCGGTCCGGCCATGCTCCCCCTGTTCCCGGCCATGTCCCCTCAGTCCAGCCGTGACCCCCCACTTCCCGGCCACGTCCCCTCACCGCCCGGCCCTGTCCCTGAGCTCGCCGCCCGCCCCAGCCGCCCTGCGCTCCGCCTACCCCAGCGCCATCTCCGCCTCCGCTCCTCGGGGCTCTGCTCCCGCCCATCTCGGCGCCGCCGGGTCCGCCCCTTCCCGCGATAGCGCCGGGCCCGCTGTCATGGCGGCGGCGGAGGAGCCTGAGGTGGACATCGAGGGGGACCCTGCGGCCGCGCCGGGGTGAGTGAGGGCCGCGAGGGGCTCGCTGCGGCTCGGCCGGCGCGCCCCGTGCCCCGCGGCGGGCGGGCGGGCAGCGTGAGGGGAGAGCCGCTCCTGAGGGGCGGCCCGGGCCGCGCGCTTCCCGCCGCTCCGGGAGAGACCTTGGAGTGTCCCGGGGTGCCCGTGGAGAGGGGGCAGCGCCGGTGCGGGGCATGGTCGGGAAGGGCACTGAGAGCGGGGCTGTGATAGCGCTGGTGTGAGGAGAACCGCCGTGATGGGATCCCGCAGAGCCCGGAACGGCGCTGCGAGGCTGCTGGGAGAATCCTTAAAATACCCATGGAGAAGGTGCTGGGTTGTGTAACTGTGTTAGCGAGGGAGGCTCAGGAAGCTGAGCGCCTGGAGGGAGGTGCAGAAAACGGTTCATAGAATGTTAGAGACTAGAAAGGACATTGAAGATCCTCTAATCCCAACCCCCCTGCCATGAATAGGGATATTTGCCACTAGACCAAGTTGCTCAAGGTTTTATTCAGTCTGGCTTTGAACGCTGCCAGGAGGGCTTGGGCATCCACAGTCTCCCTGGGTAACCTGTGCCAGGGCATCGCCATCCCCAAGTAAAGAATTTCTTCCTAGTATCTTACCAAAATTTCCCCTCTTTCAGTTTGTACCCATTAGTCCTTGTCCTATCACTACAGCTCCTGCAAAGAGTCCCGCTCCAGCTTCCCTGTAGCCCTTCCAGGCAGTGCAGGTTTGCTATCAGGTCTCCACACAAGCTTCTCTCCTTCAGGCTGAGCAGCCCCAGCTCTCCCAGCCTGTCTTTGTAGGGAAGGTGTTCCAGTGCTCTTATCAACACCGTGGGCTTGCTCCAACACTTCCGTGGCCTTCTTATGTTGGGGACCCAGAGCTGGATGTAGCACCTCGCTCCAGGTGAGGTCTCACCAGAGCAAAGCCCTGCTGGCTGTGCTGTTTTGATGCAGCCCAACATTCCAATGGCTTTCTGGGCTTAGCAAATTCACAGATAAGGGGTGCTGAAGTGAGTAGGCAGTGACTGCAATGCCTCAAACCCAGCACTTGCAGGTGCTGGAGAGAATGAGAGGTTTGTAGCAGAGACACACTGCCCTCAAATAGCCCCTGCCACTGCTGCAGACAGGCTGCTGGCAAAGGGGGCTCTTGATCCCACCCTCTCCAGGGTATGCTCAAAAAGAAGGAGTTGTATTGATCCTTGGACATGGAGACTCATCCTGATCCTTTATCCTATGAAGAGATGTTTGAAGTGCTGCACAAAGCAGTTCAGAGCAGTAGGTGAGTTTAATTTAGTGGCACTGCAGGGAATGTAGGGCTAATTAGTCTTCAGACAAGACAATGTTCTGGAAGTAAAGATTTTTGAAAACACAAGTACTTACACAAATTCCTGAGGAGATCTTATGCTGCATGAAAATAGAAGGAAGTTGATCAATGACATTAATCAGTGACAGATCTGAATATAAACTGGATGAAGTCTCCATGAGCATGAGGTTAAACATTGGAAAGACCTGGCCAGGGCTTGGAGCAACGTGGTCTGGTGGGAGATGTCCCTGTCCATGGCAGAGGGTTGGATTGAGATGATCTTCCAGCCAAACCATTCCCAGATTTTACTCTATGGTTCTAACAACCCTCTATGACAGGATTCTATTAAACCTTGTGCAAGCAGGAGCTCTCCTCAGCAGGAAAAGCAGTTTGCCTTTACCATAAAATGCTTTTACCTTATTGGGGGTAAGATGTGGAAATGTTAAGTGGAGATAATACAACTCAATAATATTCAATATTAAGAATACAATGGTTCTGAATACTGGAATCTCTTTCAGAGATCATGAAAACACAGCATCAAGCCTGCTGCAGGATCACTATCTTGATTCATCTTGGAGAACTGGCAACAGTCTTGTAAGTATTTTTTAATCAATGCTGCTTGTAGCAAGGTTATCAGAGCTTGTGTTCTCTCTTCCCTCCATGTACATGATGTTTTGGGTTTTTAACCACTGCTTCTTCCTTACTTTTACAGACTATTTCTTGTCAGCACTCAAGTACAGTGTGACAGAATTGAGATATTAAAATGTGTTTTTGTTGTTTGCAGCCCTGGACGTTGGACAGCAGCATCAGTGAAGAAAATAGGGCTGTCATTGAGAAGATGTTGCTGGAGGAAGAGTATCCTTTTGCTGATTTGGGTTTTATGTTTTCCTGTAGAATGCCAAAAAACTTCTTATTTCCAAAAGAACTGGACAAATCTTTGCCTGTTACGGTGACTGAAGCCCTGTCAACTTCTAGGCAGATGGCAGAAATCCTGCAGTATTTGTTTCTACAGCTGGGTAATTCTGAAGAAGTGTAATTTACCTGATTACTAAAATTCTCACATGTACAAATATCTCTGATGCCTTGAAAACTTACTTAATGACTATTTCAGGTATTATTTATCTAATAAAACACTTTCTGAAAAAATATGGCTCAACCAAAAGGAAGTGGAGAAAAGATCTATGAAAAGGTAAGGTCTGGGAAAATTCTTAGTTAGCTGAGTAGAAATGAAAAGTCCTTCTAAAATCCTTCTTATTTGCTGAATGTGCACCAGCAGCACAATTACTAATTTTTATTTTCACTCTTGCATTTGCAGCCCACATAAGAAAACTGGAAAAGTCATGTATGTACATTTAAACAATTGAATTGTATTTTTAAGTGTGATGTCTGATTTTGTTTAAAATTTAATTTTTTATTTAAAAAAAATTAAAGTTTTTTTTGTTTGACTGTTTAAAATTATTCAAGAGACCTTTCAACAGGAAGAAATATTATGTGTAACAAGAGGGTAGAGTAAACCAGGTTTTGGGGAGTTTTTTGGTAGCACAGTGATCTTTATGATAAAAATTTGTTAATTCTAGTTGTCTTTTCACCTGAACTTTTCTGTTGCCTGCTGTGATGTATTTCTGTGCCATTGGTCACTGATGAATATTGAGTTGCTTTGAATCTTCCATTGTGATGGAGAAGCTGATGTGATTCTCAGTATTTTTTTATGAGTCACATTCATGTTTAGAACAATACTTTGAGTTTTGCTAAAGATGGGAAGTAGTCCTTTTGTCAGAGGGTGCCTTGAGTGACTGGGATTGGAGAATGTCTGGATTTGGGAAATCACTGATTTCTGCTTCCTGCATTCCCAGGGTGCGCTCACCCACAAAATCACCTGGCTGTTCCTTGAAGTGGACAGCAGAGGAAAAAGAGCTGTTTGAACAAGGACTGGTGAGTTTGTTTATATATATAAAATATTTTAAATTGAATTAATGAGTTTATCTTGAACAGTAAAGTACTTGACCTGAATAAGCATGTTGTATAATCACAATGCTGCATTAACTATGAGAAGTATAGTGTAGTGTGTTCTGAAGACAAATCAGGTAATAGAGTAAAATCCTTACTCTGCAAACCTTACAACCTTTACTGTTGTAAGGTTTGCAGAGATTATATGGTTGTGCCAATTGTAAAAGGGTTTGCTTTGTCAAGCACAAGGATTCCTTGGGATAACAGGCAGCAGAGTGCCTGAAATGGGTGAAGAAGATTCTTCAGTTAAGAATAAGAATAATTCTTACTAATGGATGCAGTTTCCTTCTTAGTAGAACATAAATAGTGAGGTTCTTTACCATGGGTTTGCTGTAGTGTTTGTGCAGTTTAATGAATAATGAGGTTTTGAGCTCATTTGACACGTGCAGTGCCATGTCTGGGATGTCACAGTTGGGGTCACTTCCATGAGCTTTGAATTTCAGGTGAAATTTGGCCGCAGGTGGACGAAAATTGCCAAACTGATCGGCACTCGAACGGTTCTGCAAGTCAAGAGCTATGCTCGGCAGTACTTCAGGAACAAGGTAAATGGGGCATCCCTGGGGCTGGCAAAAAGGTGTTTGCCCATGGGTAGCTTGGTTTTAATCTGTCTTTTCAAGGCACTGCTGTCAAAGCAGGTACTCTATTCATTCCTGTATTCAGAGAAGTGGAATATCGTTATTTGCAGATTTAAATGCAAAGTCAGACCTGGTTTCAAATTCCTAGAGTGACCACTGGTTTTATTGCTGGTATAACTAAACAATCAATGCAGTATAATTGTGGTCCCTTACACTGTTGGTTGTCAGTCTGAAAATACTGGTTTTCTATTACACAGCTCTTTCTGCTGTGTGTTGTAGATTTAGCTTCAGCCTTATTTGAGATTTCATGGGCTTTAAGAAGGAATAACTACTTTCTGGGGCTTTTTGACTGGAATGTAAATTTATATTTGGCCTAAAGTATACCTATAATCCTAAAAGTCAGTTGCAATGGATTAAACTAAATTAAAACGATAAATTGAAGAAGAAACACTTTAGAATATCCGCTGTTCAAATAAAACAGTCCTGATTATTTGGGAGGCAGATGATTTTGGCTTGTTTTTCCCTCCTAAAAGTGATTTATATTTTCCTAAGGCAAAAAATGGTGATTCAGAAAAAGAAGAGCAAAGTCAGTGTGGGAGCAGCCTTCCCATGGAAGATGGGGCAGGGATGGAAGCTGGAAGCTTGAGAGGCCGTGCAGACCCCAACCTGAACGCAGTGAAAATTGAGAAGCTCTCAGATGATGAGGAAGTGGACATAACTGATGACATGGATGAACTACTCACTCCTGCCTTCCAGCAAGAAACAGGAAAATCTGAATTGTCTGTTATCCCAAAAAGTCCAGTTGAAGAAACAAAAGCAGTGGAACAAGGTTTTTCATCTGCTGGCCACAGTTCTGCAACTGCTTTGCCTAAAGAAGATCCTCAGCACACCAGGCCAGAGCCAGTGGATGCATTGGTATTTCCTGCTGTGGCAGCAACGTGTTCCCAGCACCTGAATGGGGATAAATCTGTGAATTTGGATTACCAGCAGTACAACAATCTTGTTGAGAAAGCTGGGCAAAGTGGACCAGTCACACGTCCTGCACAAGGAGCCGGTCAGGAGCTCAGTGAGGAGCAAAGAGACCTGGCTGATAACGGATTGCTTTTTCCTTCTCCCTGCCAAGTGGATGAAGATCATCAAGAGGAAGCAGAGGAGCTGAAGCCACCTGATCAAGAAGTGGAGGTTGACAGAAGCCTCATTCTGGAGGAAGAGAAGCAGGCTATTCCCGAATTCTTTGAAGGGCGCCAGGCCAAAACACCAGAACGTTATTTGAAAATCAGGAATTATATTTTGGATCAGTGGTGAGATGCATTAATTTCTTTTACTGAAATAAGTGATTAAGATGTCCTGGTCTGATGTAGTTAAAACACTACTTAGCACTAATAGCTTACTTCTGAATAGAGTTAAATTAATTGTATGGTAGCTTGCCAGTGAAGAACATTCATTATTAATACTTCTTTTGCATCTTCCTGATTTTTTTTCTCTTGCATTCTGGAAGCTGAGCAATGAAAATACTTTGAATCATTAAGAAAATGAATGTTCTGTACCAGAACAGGCTGCATTTGTTTTGGCTGTGCTATTTCCTTGCCATTTTTGCCATCCTTTGCATAAGAATGGTTTTAACAAATGGTTCCTTAAAATAACCAATGGCATTAATTCCATAGCCCTGCCTTTACAGAAAGGCAGCAAGAAGCAATAATCTGTGCTAGAGCAAATAGTGTTGACCAAAGGAATGCCTCAAATTCAGAATCAATTTGGACTGGTGCTTGTGCACTTAAATATTTTATATTCCATCTGCACAGGAGTGGTGTAAGGAAACATAGTGACTTGTAGTAGAAGGCTCAAGATAATTTGGTTGCCAGTTTTGGTTGGTGCTTGCTTTGAAGCAGAAAGAATTATTGAGTTTAACTCTGTCCTCATTCAGTTGTCTTGTGCTCTGACAGCTTCTAGTTGCAAAGAGAGACTAAAATTCCATTCGACACCAGAGAAGTGTTGAACTGAGAAGATTCAGTGTCTGCTTAAAGGAAGGAAATTAATGCACAGAGAGTGAAAATAGGACCTCAGTTAAAGTCCCCCAATTCCTTCATCCCCCTTGGTTTGTTCTGCTGTTTGACCAGGTGCTGTGCTTTGTTTTAGGGAGAGATGCAAACCCAAATACCTGAACAAGACCTCGGTGCGGCCCGGCCTGAAGAACTGCGGGGACGTGAACTGCATCGGGCGCATCCACACCTACCTGGAGCTGATAGGAGCCATCAACTTCGGCTGTGGTAAAGATATTGCTGTTAGAACAGTCAGTGCAGAGCCTCTTCTGGTGCAGGGACTGCCCAGCACTAGGGTGTGCTGCTCGTTCATCCTTGCTAGGAAGGACCTTCTGACAGATTGTCCCTCATAACTTTGGAAAATCTCGAAGAGCTTGTAACCTATGAACAGGATTAGAAATTTTAGGCTTACACCAAACCTTCTATTTTTTCTTTTTGTTTTTCTTTCCCCATATTTAATCACACACCAGTTGGTGGGATGTCTGTTTTGTTTCATGCTTTTCTGTGTGTCCTGATACCAACTGTGTCTGAAATTCTGCCCTTCTTCTTATTAGGTAGAATTCAAGTAATTGTTTCTTTTCCCACAATAAATTGTAACAATTTTTTAAATAAATTCCAATGCCTTCAGGGCTACATTTTAAACAAAATCCTCAGGACTACTTCATCCTGAGGGCTACTTTTTAAACAATTCAAGTGTTAAAATTAGGTGAACTGTTAAAAGTGAATGTGCGTCTGTAACTTGATGTTGGTTTAGAGGCTCTCAATGAGTTTTGGTCTGAATGACAGTCACCTAGGAGAGGAGCAATGTCCTGCAATTACATTTTGTCCAAAGTAAAGTTTTTAAAATTTATTTAGAAGGAAGAAGGAGGAGAAGAGGAGGTTTTGTTGTTTTAAAAGTATGGTGGAAGAAGGCTACATCACCACTCAGAATTATGACTACCAAGAGATGTCTTTGCTGTGAGGGTTTTGTTTGCTTTCTCCCTGTGCCATTTGCTGTTGTCACTTACCCGTGTCACTCCTGTGTGTGTGTGGCAGTGCTGAGCAGCCCTGAGCTCTGCTGACACGGGAATTGTCCCCTGTGTGTCCTGCAGAGCAGGCCGTGTACAACCGGCCGCAGCCCGCCGCCGACCGGAGCCGCTGCAGGGAGGGCAAGGACACGGTGGAAGCCTATCAGCTGGCCCAGCGCCTGCAGTCCATGGTACAGCCTGGGGGAGCAGGGACAAGGGGAAACCCTCCCAGCCTGCATTTATTTACAGGCCAGGGCACCTCAGGGAATGTCTCCTCTCACTCAGGTTGCAGTTTCCTTAGGGTGCCCTGTGACTCAGGGGTCAGTGTTGGTACAGGTGTCTCACACCCACTCACATGTTCAGGTACTTCCCCTGCAGCCTGAACCTCCTTTTCCCCATCATTTATTAGCCACAAAACAGTGAAGTGCATTGCAGTGTGTGAGTAAGTATTGGAATAGGAATCCCAATATTACCAGTTAGATTGTGCCTGGGCCAGTCTGGCCAGTCTTCTGGGCCAAAGGCAGCAACTGTGGTGTATCACCCCAGAGATACCTTTGGCTTGCTGGAGGTTGCAGCAGGGCACTGAACAAGTCCAGGCTTGTTAGGAACTCCGTTTACCTCAGGAGGAAAGCTTCAGGCGATGGTGAAGAGGAAAAGGAGATGGATTCTGCTGGAGGGTTTAATATCCAGAGGTTTATTCCATGGTTACAGAGGTCTGAACGTGAGCAACAGCTCCAACAGAATCCCGACCGCATGGCTTGATTCACCTTTTAAGCTCAGGGACAGGGGAAGTACAGGTGAGCCACCAACCAGGTGGAAGGGGCAGGGTCTCAAGGGACGAGGGACACCCAGACAGGCCAATGACCCCCAGGCCTGAGGGGCATCCTTTGAACTTGACCAACCACACGATGCCTTGCTGGAATGTTCAGCCTGATTGACAGGACTCACTCAGCAAGGGGGCGAGGGGGAAGAGGTATAGGCACACCTGGGAGGTGACCTGGAAGTCTAAAATGGGACATTGCAGCACACTGCAACAATTAAGTTGCTTGCATTTCAATACAGTAGGTATATGTTATGGCTTACTGAGAGCCCTGTGCACACAATTAAATGCAGCAGTAACTCATTTATAACTGCATGAATTACCAAGGCTTGCCAGAGTTAATTTTTATATTCACACTTAATGTAGCATTTTTAAGCACTTCACAGCAAAGTAAATCAGTTGATGAGAGGAGAACTAAATCAATCCCACATTAAAAATAATAAATTGAAATGTAAAGAACTGTAGCATACACTAAATGTAAACACACTGAGTTTATAGCTTTGTGTGTTGTCTGAGCATTAATTCAGAGCTGGATATCAGTACCCTGGTGCTGTCAGGGCTGCTGATATTCTATGGAACACTAACAGGCTTTACAGCCTTAAACTCCAAAAACTTTACTGATGATAATTCCTGGGGGATCATGAGCTACTTAATTCTACAGAAATCAGGGGTGTTCTTTATTTTCTGGGAATATGTTGGAGTGTCAGTACCATTCCTGGGGCAGTGGCCTTTTGGACAATGTCCTTTGGCTGCCTGGATGAAGGAAATGCAGTTTTCCAGGGTGATTTGACTCGTGGTGGTTTCTTTCCTCAGCGCACGAGAAGACGGCGAGTGCGGGACCCGTGGGGAAACTGGTGTGATGCAAAGGATTTGGAAGGACAGACATTTGAGGTAACCCTTCTGTATTTTAACCTCACCTTAAATCCTCACCTTAAAATCACCTTAAATTAGCAGGAATCAGTTCCTGCTAATTGCTGGCTGGTGCTGTTGCATCAAACAGACAAGGGGACAGTTGTGTCATAGGGATTCAACCTCTCTTGTGGAAGTACTGCAGCAGCTGGCACATCTTCATGCTGATTAATGCAGCTGCATTTGGGGTTTGCACAGGGGTTTTGTGCCCATAAAACTCATTGCCTTGTCTTGTAGGAGATTTCATGACCCATTGCTTTCAGTTAACTGCCTTTAGGGTAACGGTAGGGGATGGGAGAATAACATTTAAATGTTATTTTTTCAGTCCTGTATGGTTTCCTTGTGCTCATTATGCAGGTGATAATGAGTTCCTAATATTAATTCTGCTACTAGCAATATCCACAGTAATACTGTGGTTTATTAAGTGCTTAAAAAATTCATGCAAGGTTAAATATTTTATGGGAGAATTGGAAAGAAAATGCATGTCTGTTCCTACAATTACAAATTACATCAAAAGTGAAGAACTATAAACATCCAATTTTCCTGTATACAAAGCCTTCTTAATTTTCAACCTTTCAGTAATTGCCTGTAACAATTACTACCATAATGGTATCATGGCATACCTGTTTTTGAGTGACTGTGGGTTAATAATACCAACACTTCCTTTAAAATACATATTTGAATGGAAATAAAGGTTGAGAACATCCCTAAGGAGGGGGCATGATAAATTCTGGCTGTGGTTTGTAATGGCAGATGGTCACACCTCGATTTACACCTGGTTTGTGATGTGGGCTGTGATTTTACTGAATTTGAATGATTTGGAGAGTGAGAGAATTCTCTTATCAGGCACCTTGTGGACCTGATCTCAGATTGTCATTCCTTCCACACTGCTTGGTTCTGCCATGGCTGTTGCCTCTATCCTCAGTAGTCTTGTAATACACAAATTATATTAAGAGGGCAGGGATATCAAGAATTTGTTCTGGGCTGGTTTTGCAATGAGGACTTCAGCCATTGAAACATTCAATTTTTTAAAAAATCTTTTCAGCATCTCTCAGCTGAAGAATTAGCAAGAAGGAGAGAGGAAGAAAAACTGAAACCTGCAAAATCTTCTAAAGGTTCAAGACAAATCAAAAGGTATTTGATCACATCTTGTTCAAACATAGACCTGCCAGAAATGGAACAAATGTCCTGTGAAGTGTCAGGCTGGAATGCTGCACAGCATTAATATGTATCCTGGTCTGAAATAGCAGGGATGCTTTTCAGATGTTCTCTGCTGGAATTCAGGAGTGTGGGAAGTGATATTTTGGTATTTGGTGGAAGCCATCCTAGTGTGGGATGAGAAAATCCAGTGAAGACAACAAGGTTATTCCTCCTCTTTCAAGGAGAGACAGTGGGAAACTTGAAAAGTTTCCTGACTGTCCTACATCTTTAGAGAAATTTTCTTTCATTTTATAGTTCCTTTGATCCCTTTCAGCTGATACCATGCTGTTTGTTCACGGAAGAAAAGCAGGTAAGCACCTCTGAGTGAATTACTGAGAGGGCTCCATTGCTTGGGTTACTTTTCTTATCATTGTGTTTATCATTTCAGGAGCCCTTTCAGGTGAAAGTGTCTTCTGAAGCACTTTTAATAATGGATTTGGTGAGCATTAAGTTTTATCTTTCAAAAAGCTGTGATGTGTGTGCTGTGGGTTTGGTTCTTGTTTCTAATGAGCAACATAACAAGACAAAGAAAATAAAAGAGAGAAGCTGTGGCTGCCCCATCCCTGGAAGTGTTCAAGGCCAGTTTGGGTCGAGCTCTGAACAACCTGTTCTAATGGAAGATGTCCCTGTCCATGGCAGGGGGGATAATGAGGAAATCATTAAGGTTCATTTCAACCCAAACCATTCAGTGATTTTTTTCCAGTCAGACCTAGAAGTGAGAATCTAGTATTAAATAAAGCCCCTAAATGAATGGGTTTTGTATTGTGCTTAATATACAACTATTAACCTTCTAAAAAAACTAATAACAGCTTTGCTACTTTACTGAGAGCTTTAGTACTTACTACTCTCTGTCATACTTTAACTCTAATTTGCTTAAAGCTACTTTCTGAAACAGACTGCCCTTCTGAATCTATGGCTTCATTTTCTACCAGTCTGGGAGTTGATTTTGTGTTTGCAAAGCAATGTGTGGGTTTTTTCAAGAATAACAGGCTGTACCAAAATGTGTGCAGTTGTTCAGCACTGCCCAGGCTGCAGTTTTTGAACTTCCATACACATTGCCTTGTGCATGGAAGTGTTGCACCCTTGCACTACATCTGTGGTGTGTCTATAATAAGCAAATTTAATCTTTTCTGTTTGCTTTAAATGGAAGTACTGGGTATTTGAGAGTCTTGAGTTTTCTTTCTACATATCCTTGAGAAGTCACTGCCTTGTGAGAAATCCCACTTTGGACTTTCCTAATTGTTTGATTTTATTCCAGCACTCTCACGTGTCTCTGGCAGAAGTGATTGGGCTGCTCGGTGGAAAGTACTCTGAAGCTGATAAAATTGTGGAAGTAAGTGTTTGTCTTTTCACATTTTCTCTATAATATTAAAACTTAAATGATCATAGTTGCACTTTGAATAGATGTAGCTTATTTCTAAAAGGCAATTAATATATATTAAAGTTGAAATTCATTACTGTAGTCTTGAAATATGAAAGTTAAGCTTACACTCATGTATCAACTGCATCATGAGCAAAATCTGGTAAATGCCTTTTAAAACTCTGTAAGTTTTTTGTAACTGATTCACAGAATCATTAGGTTAGAAGAGACCTTCAAGATCATTGAGTCCAACCCAGCCCCAACACCTCAACTAAACCCTGGCCCCCAGTGCCACATCCAGGCTTTGTTAAACACACCCAGGGATGGTGACTCCACCACCTCCCTGGGCAGCCATTCCAGAACTTTATCACTCTTTCAGTGAAAAACTTTTTCTTAATATCCAACTTGTATTTCCCTTGGTGCAGCTTGAGGCTGTGTGCTCTGGTTGTGTCAGTGCTGCCTGGAGAGAGCCCAACCCCACCTGAGCACAGGCACCTTTCAGGGGGTTGTGGAGATTGATTAGGTCACCTCTGAATCTTCTTTTCTCCAGGCTGAACACCCCCAGCTCCCTCAGTGGTTCCTCACAGGGTTTGTGTTCCCAGCCCCTCTCCAGCCTGTCTGCCTCCTTTGGATGTGCTCAAGTGTCTCAATGTCCTTCCCAAGCTGAGGGGCCAGAGCTGGACACAGGGGCAGAATGACCTCCCTGCTCCTGATCCAGGCCAGGATACCATTGGCCTTCTTGGCCATGAGGGCACACTGCTGGCTCATGTTCAGCTGGCTGTTGACCAATACCCCCAGGTCCCTTTCCTGTCCAGCCACACCGTCCCCAGCCTGTAGCACTGCAGGGGTTACTGTGGGCACAGTGCAGGACTGGGGGCCACAGTCACCCCTGCAGCCTGAGGATATTACAGCGACCTGATGAGGTCATCAGGGGGAGAGAAGGATCAGAAGGCTGGATTTATTGATATATGCTATATAATACATTATTACTATACTAATAGGAATAAAGAGAGAAGTTGCCGAGCTGCTAAGCTAAGAATAGAATAGAAAAGAATGAATAACAAAGTTCTGTATCCAGGGAATCTGTCCCCGAGCTTGGTCCTGTGATTGGCCCCCAGTTGTAAACACGGAACATGATCCAATCACAGGAGCACCTGCTACATTTCACAGCAGCCGATAACAATTGTTTACATTCTTCTTCTGGGGCCTCTGCTTCCCAGAAGATGCACAAATCCCAAAGAAAGGATTTCTATGAAAAAATGTCTGCGACATGAGGAGGCTCCTTGCACTGCTGCAGCTGGATGTTCTCTCCCCAGGTGTGCACAGCAGAGCCGTGCAACAGCCTGAGCACAGGCCTGCAGTGCGAGATGGACCCGGTGTCACAGACTCAGGCCTCGGAGTCGCTGGCAGCCCGCGGCTTCCGGGTGATCGGCTGGTACCACTCGCACCCCGCCTTCGAGCCCAGCCCCTCCCTCCGCGACATCGACACGCAGGCCAAGTACCAGGTACGGCAGGGACACACCCGCACCCTGCAGCCTCGGGCTCCCTGGGCTTTGCACTGCTGCACCGGTGTATTCACACAGCTCGGCGGGAATTGACATAAAAGCTGTTCTGTAGGTTTCAGCTTTGCTGCTCTCAATAAGACTGGAGTTTTGTATGTGGTGTTTTTGGTGTTTTTTAGAGCTATTTCTCCAGGGGTGGTGCCATGTTCATCGGGATGATCATAAGCCCTTACAACAGGAATAATCCTCTTCCCTATTCCCAGATCACCTGTCTGGTCATTAGTGATGAGATCAGTTCTGATGGTTCCTATCGTAAGTACCCCTGTTTTATCCAGTGTCTTAATTCTTTGGGTGTTAAGGGCAAGATGTCTGGTTTTGCACCTGAGAAATCAGTATTTATGTATTTATATTGGTAATATGATGGCATTATATAAATGGTGTAATTTATAATGGCAACATGTGCTGGATAAACACAGGAATTTCACTGCGAGAATAAACCTGTGCTTGTCTGTGCTGTTAGGATAGGAATATACAACTATATACAACTATACAACTATATATACAACTATATACAACTATACAACTGTATATACAACTATATACAACAATATACAACTATATACAACTATATATATATACAGCTATATATATACAACTAGAATATACAACTATATACAGCTATACAACTATATATACAACTATATACAACTATATGTATATACAGCTATAATATATATACAGCTATATATATACAACTAGAATATACAACTATATACAACTATACAACTATATACAACTATACAACTATATACAGCAATATACATATATATATACAGCTATATATATATACAGCTATAAATACATACAAGATTGATCTTCTGTGTTAGTAGTTCCCATAATTCCTGAAAGAAGTGATAGGGTTGGGACCTGTTATTTACATACAGAATCAGGACAGCTTAGAAACTGTTTCCCATGTCTTACTTGGCCTGCATTACAACATTCTGAACAGATTCTCTGCTCAAGGAGACAGAAGTAAATAGCAAAGAACTGGATGCTACAGTGGTCAAAAACTCTTAATTTTTGAGTGGCATTCAGCAGGTCAGAGGATCAAAGAAATGTGCCAGCTGTCAGGGGAACACAAGGCATGAAAGCTGAAATGGTGCTGGCATGAACCCCCACCTAAGAGAACAAATTCCTGATTAAAAATACCATTGGCATTTCATGAAAACAGGGTCTTTTCCTTTCTTGAACAGTAAAGGGCATAGCACATAAAATTTGCTGTATTGCTAGTGATGATCAGATCTGCTCTTTTCCTGACATGAATTTGAGGAAAATTCCCCTGATAACAGTAGATGGTTCTGGTACCTTCCTGTTCTCTCTCCTCCTCCCTCTATTTATAAAGTCCTGGTTTTTGCATCCACACTCCAAGGTTTCCAGTTCTCTTGGCCTTGTGAGCCCACAGTTTTTTCTGTTTTTTCCAGTGGAAGCAGACAAGGGAGCCCCACTGCAGTCCTGGGGCAGGGGCAGCAGTGGCCACATCTGTGCCCCATTCCTGTTTGCCACCCTGAGACTCCTGCAGGTTCATCCTCCTCTCCCACACATCCCACCTTTGTGGGGGGAGTTAAAATACTGACAAACTCTGTTGCCCTGAGAAGTAGACATTTTTGTAGTCATGTGCATTTTCTGTCAGAGGATTTCAGATTTCTGTGTAGCTCCTGAAATCAAGGTTTTACAAAATGCCATCTCCTCTGGCTCTTTGGAAATGATTTACTGAAATGTACAGTCTCTTTCTTGCTCCCTGATTTTTGGTAAACTAACTGTGTCAGGCAAATAAATTTTTGATGATTCTTCTAAAATATTTTCTAGAATTCTCTTCCCCCACCTGCAGTAAACTAGAAGAATTTCTTCAATTCTGAGCAAGTTTCCTTTGAAATTGAGAACAATAGTCAGCACTGCACCATCAGCCCATTCATACTGAAAAACCAAACCTTTTTTATTAATTTAATAACCATATAACTCTTACACTACAACAGTGCAGCTAAGTTAGAAACACTCAATTCATTTTTTTCATTTCTGGGTTTGCTGTAGATTTCTGTCCTTCCTTATGGAATGGGAATTGGCAAGGGCAGGGAGCAGAACAGATTTGTTCCTACTCCCACCAGAATTAAATTTGGAATCCAAAACATGTCATCCTTTAACCTCCTTAATGTTGTCAAGTAACAGAACTACAGGCTTCTGCAGGCAGTAATAAATGAGGAACAGTTATGGGGAGGGAAGGGATTGCACCTAAACTGAACAGGAAAAGAAACAGTGGAGTGTAGCAGAAACACTGAATAATCATCTTCAATTGCTTACAGGCCTGCCCTACAAATTTGAAGTGGAACAGATGTTGGAGGAGCCTCAGTGGGAATTAGTATTTGAAAAAACAAGGTGGATAATTGAGAAATACAGATTTTGCCACAGGTTTGTGTCCACTTCTGTTACAAACAGCCAGGTTGGAATTTTTATACATTTATTGTTATGTTTCAGTCAAGACCCATGGCTGCTTTCTCCAGCACTCCTCTTTGTTTTTCTTCCAACAGCAGTGTCCCCATGGATAAAATTTTTCATAGAGATTCTGACCTGACTTGTTTGCAGAAAGTAAGTTTTCTTCTCTTAACTTTTTTATGGTAGATGTTTTTTTTAATCCAAATCTGTTTCATGTCAGAAGTCACCTGGAGTTACACTTTTACAAATCAGAGATGTAAATTAATGATAATAAATTATTTTTGTGGCACAGCTTATTTACTTAAAACACAATGAAAATAAAGATCCTCCTCTCAGAGAGGTGGGGATGGTTATGTGCAGGCACCAAGTTTGACCCTCAGTTTGGAGAGGAGTTAATGGCAATTAATGACTCAGGTCTCTCTCAGCATTTTGTGTGCTTTCAGTGTCAAGACCTGCCCATGTCTCAGGAGCAGATTTGGCCTTCCTGGTCCTTTGTTCCATCAGTAAAATAATGCTGTGCCATGTTTGGCATGGATAATAGGAACTTTAATTTTCCAGTGTAGTCACTGCTCTGGAGCTCTGACTGGTGGCAGCTGTACCATTATGGCACAAACAAGACACAAACTCTGCCCAAAGCAAAAGACATGAACAGAAAACTTGCACACAGTAATTGTACACATTGATTTTTGTTTTTGTTTCCTCTCAGTGCATCTTTGCTTATAAAGTGTAAATCTAAACTTTGAGTTGGTGGAATGCTCTGAAATGTAGTTGTTGGGTAATTGGTTTTAAAGATTTGGGTTTAGATCACCCTGTTCATTTTAAATTTATAATGTATAAACACTTTTTGTAGTGTTCATCTTAAATAAATAAATAAAAATCTCTTTGCAATACTTACCACATAAAAGAGGGGGGGGAAATGACAATTTAAAACAGATTTCCTTTTCTTTTGCCTAGCTTTTGGAGTGCATGAGGAAGACTTTGGGCAAGGTAACAAACTGCCTCATTGCTGAAGAGTTCTTGACTCAGATAGAAAACTTATTCCTTTCCACATACAAGAGTGAAAAAAATGCTGAAGGAAGTGAGAATGAACATTCACATGAACTGCCAGTGTGATGGCTTTGGAATTTTGATTTCATTTTTGAATTTCTTCCCCTCCTCTCCATTATGTCAACTCTTTCAGAATTCTTGTCCCTTTTAGTAGTGACTGTTAAGAATCCAGTGTCATCTCATGGTTGTGGTTGAAAAACACTTTGAAAGCTCCTGATGTGTGACCTGTGTGCCTGAGGAATGTTAATGCTGATGAGTGCCATGGAGGTAATGATTGACCAGCCTGGTGTGTGGGAAGGACACCCTGTCAGGAATGCTGTGCATCAGTCTGCAAGGAGAGCTTGTCCTCTCTCAAGTCTTTCAGTTTGGGAATTTTCTCTAATGTTTTTATCTACAAGTGCACCTCTAACTCAGAATGGATTTGTTCCTTTGCCTTAGGGAGTGTAAGTTTGAATGAGTTCACAAAAGGAAAACTTAACTGAAATGAGAGTTTTGTAGCTCAGAGTTTCCTGGTGTCCAGTAAGAAGTTTCATCCAGTTGCAGCAAAATACATCTCCCAATTTCTTTTTTTACTATTATTTTTCTTATTACTTTTCCCCATTGATTTTGCTGGTCAAGTAGCTTTTTGGCATATTCTTTGCCATCCTGCTTCTATATTGAGGAGAAAAGGCTGACAAGTTTCATGACTTCTCAGTAGTGGCTGTCCTTGTTTCCAGTGGAAATGATAACTCCTGTCTTACTACAGGTTACCTCTTTCTGACCTTCCATTCTACAGGGAGGTTTTATGTTGTTCTTCTGATCATTGTGGTTTGTCCACTTCTAATTGCCACTGTTTCCTGTGGAAACCAGAGCTCCTGACTGATGGCAAAGTGAGTGTAACAAGCAGAAAAGGATTTGTGTTTTTGAAGAAAAATAATCCCCACTTTTATATTCAGAGTCTTCTCTATAATGTACAGTTCAATAGAAAAACATTTGTTTATATCAGTTCCTCAGTTATGATTTCATACAGGTATATATTTAGATAAATCACTCACAGATTGATCTTGATTGAGAAGTTTCCTGATTGCAACTTGGAAATGTTTCATGAGCTGTACCACTGTGAATCTTTTTAGAAAAAAATGTGCTTTAAATGTTGCTCTCTAAATACTAAGGAAACTTGACTTGTCTACAGGTATTACTATTTCCACATGTTTATCTTGGGCAGAGTTTCTCAGAGAGGTCTAAAATATATTTGAAAGTTTCAAGCAAGACTTGGAGTTTATATCTAGAGGGGAGACAATGGACCCAATTTTTATTTTAAGAAAATATATGTGTGTGTATATATATACATATAGTTCTACATAACATAAATGGAATTTTGAGATTTGATATGTTTCAACTTTTTGTTTGTATAAAGAGTTTGAAAAGCTTTAAAATCATAGAGTTGCATCCCAAGGAGGGAACTCCTTTATGGGAAGTTAATGTTATATTTTTATCAGGCCTCATGAATCTCTCTGTCACTAAGGGGAGGGAGCAGAACTTGAGCAGATGAAAATGTGAGTCCTTGAAATTCAGAGATTTTCCCACTTTTAAGAGCTGTGGACTCAAAGGTACTGGTGGGTGTTGTGTGCTCTCTGTGTTCAGATGTGCTGGTGCACAGCTGTAGGCCCCACTACTGTGTGTAATTTACCACTTGGTGTATCCACCTCTCTCTGGCCTGTTGGCTCAGTCTGCATTTACTCTAAACTCTCATCTCTGGGGCTTCCTGACCACCACTATTGCAAGGATTCCTGGATTCCTGGCTGAGCTGCACTTCAGGTGGGAAAGCATTCCTCCTCCTCCTCAGTCGCAGTTCTGCAGTTTTCTGGAAAATCTCCCAGTGTCAATGTCCTGACAGTTCCAGTTAGAGCTGCTGGGAGGAGAATTTTGAACACATTTTGTCACAGCACCATGAAGCAGATTCTGCTCATTGTCCACACACAGTTCCCAGCCCTTTAGGGATGAGTTGGGATTACCCAGGTAGTGCTGACAATGTCCTGGCTGCTTCCCTCTTTAGTGATCACTGAGGTAAAGTCACACAGTTGTATTATTGTATTTAACAGTGGTGTTATGTAAGGAAGTTTTTAAGGAACCCAGACTTTTGAAGTGATTTTTCTGAGGACATGGGCAGGATTGAGCCTTTGTTATGCACATAAAAGCTCCAGAATTCCAAGTGTTTGTTGCAGGGTGCTGTGGAGAAAATACAATGCTTGTTCCATCAGGATCCAGTCTAGCACACAGAATTCTATAGGAATTGGAAAGAGCACAGTTGTGATGCTGAGTAATGATTTTGTTGACAGGAGGCAGGGTAAGAAAATAAACTAAGCCACTTTTCATCATTTAGTTTCACTGAGTGGTAAATGAGATGAATTTGGAAGTTGCATGCTTCCCAGGAAATAAAAACCTGTTTAACTAATATACCAGTTCTACCAAACACATTTTAGGCATGAAAATTTTGTATTAAAAAGCTTTTTTTCCCCATCCATGCTTTGTTTCAGTGGACCTGTGCAGACTAATCTGCTTCCATAGGACCAGTGTTACACCGTATCAAGTTGTTGCTCAGGACGTGAGAAATCGTTGAGTAGGGGGTAGAATGATACACTTAAAACTGGAATTCAACAGGTTAGGAAATGAAAAAAGAAATTAGCAAAAGCCCACAAAATAAACCCAAACAACCCCTCCCAAGATGTCACTTCTGGCAAATATCCCTCTGGGCACTTGTTGGCTGAATCATGTTTTGCTCTCCCAGTGACCAGCAGTGCTGCCTCACAGGGATGCAGATTTTGTGTGCAAGGGGAGGGAATATCCCTACTTTTGTTTTTTTTAAACTAACTAACTTCCCCAAAACAATTCAGTTGAAAAATCCAAAATCCATAACCAGGTAAAAAGTTAATGCTGTTGCCATTGATATTCATTCAGGACTTTTTTCCTTTGCTTGCTTCTCTGCTGTTCCTGCCTGATGACAGACAAGAGTCTACTAATAAAGGCTGCTCATGCAATACCCAGAACGCTGTGTCTGTATTTGTAACATCTCGTCTCTGGAATGACTTTGTGCCGTGTCGGTGGCCCTGACCGAGTGCCAGAGCAAAGCTGGGTTCCAGCAGAGGGAGCTTTGTCACAGCAGCTGCGGGAGAGGTTCGGAACTCGGAGTGAAACTCCTCGTACCAGTGTGTTTGGTGAATTTGCGCCAGGGAGCGCATCCGGGCAGGAGCTGTTTCCCTCCTTGTTTGACAGCCGCTGTGCTCTAGGCTCCATCAGCAGATGACCCAGGGATGCTGGGGCTGGGATGCTGGGACGGTACCCCGGTGTTCGGCACACACGACACAGTCCTGAATCAATGGCAGGGGCACACCCTGGAGGAAAGATCCCTTTCCGTCAGCCGCATTCCCTGCCTCGATCCGATCCAGGTGTGCTGGGCAGGGCTGAGCCATGAGGGCAGGGAGGCTGTAGGGCCAAGAGAGGCTGTGGAGGAGGACAGTGCACCCCAAAAGGGGGGTGTGGCACAGCTGAGCACCCCGAGCGTCTGCACAGGAGGCAGAGGTGCTGTGCTGGTGCTGTGCCCTCCAAGGAAGTGAGGGATAAGGATTTCATCCATCCCCACAGGAAGCAGCCGGTGGTTTAACATCCCAGTGAGCACTGTAATCACATGTGATGCTGGACAAAGTATTTAATGGCCTAGATAAAAGTATTCGGGTTGTTTAATTGCTGCTTTACACAGACCTACTGCCCTACTTTTACAAGGTTTAGAATTGTGCTGAGAAATTGTTTCCATGGAAGCAGAGATCACTAAAGAAATAATGCACTCCACATTTCCTACAGGATTATTCCTTTTACAGCCTGCTGTTCTAAATAATTAACTCTTGTAGTACTGTTGCAGCTTAGCATGGATTAAAAGAAATAATACTTTTTTTGGTGTCAAAGAGGCATTACATTTTTTTAATATGTACAATATATATAAGTAGTTGGATATATATATATATATATGTAGTTGGAGATATATATAGTTGGAAAAACTTGTCTTTAAAGTAAGTTCGTTCCTTTCTTATTTACAGAGGGGAAAATCCACCAATAAAAGAAAAAGTCAATGAAGAAGTGCACTTTTATTTTGAACTATATTTCACATTTGGCATTTAAATAATGTGAAATAAAATATAGACAAGATATGAGGAGGTAGGTGATAGTTAAATGGATTTTGACTTTGAAGGAGGGATGTGAAAATTAAAAGAAAAAAGGACATTATTGTAGTGTGGGTAAATGAATGACTTAGAAATGGGAAAAGAGTTGCTAAACTATTACAGAATCATCAACATGACAAATTGACTTACCTGGCAGTTTTAATAATAGTTTTAGCTGTAGATCTCAATTATTTTCCAAGAAAGCTAACTGCAGTTATTATTACCTGAAGGAATATCCAGATGGTGTCCTGCTTTGGCAGAGGGTATTTACATCCCTTTTCCATGTGCAGCTCTGATTTTACACCCATTCCCTGGCAGGCAGGGTCCTCCCCAGTGTGCACAGAGCCACGAGTGCAGGAGCTGGCAGGTTGGGAGCCACTGGAGTGTTCTGTGAAAGGCATTATTAAAGTTCAGATTGAAAAATTTCTTAAGAAATAACAAATAACTTTGTCAGGGCAACATAAGCATGAAAATCAGTATTCCTAGTGCTGCCTTGGGATGAGCATGTGTCAAAGGGAAGTTGGAAGAGAAGCTTTCCATGCTGGAAAATGAGGCTGATTTCTGCAGGAGAGCAGCCATCAGCCTGGTCAGCTGTGGTTCCTCTTGGAACAGCAGATGCCCCAGGCAGCAAGCATCAAACTCCCAAAGGCTTTATTTAATAAAGCTATGAAAGTAGAAAGTCCATAACTGATAAGAATCTAGATAGTGGAATGATAAGAGATGCTGTGCAGTGAAAGACAAAGGAACAACCATGATGGAAGTGGAGGAGTAGGATTTCCTGCAGAAGTGGAAGAACCTCTTTAGACAGCCATTTGCATACAGTGCATACAAAGTCTAAATAAGGAAAAGGGCCAGCTGCTTGTCTTTAATCCATAACGGGAGCCCACGGCAGGAGCTTGGCTGCTGTCTCTTTTCTTCCCTGTTGTTTCTTCATCAAGCAGGAGCGAGGGAGGCAGCTGGAGGCAGGTGCCACTCCCTGAGAGCTAACAGGGAGCTGAGAAGCTGTTGACTGGGATTTGGGAAGGAGATGGCAGTTGTTTTGGAAGAAGAACCTGTTTGGTGGGTCTGATTTGAATCAATAAAGGGAGCAGCACGCCAGTGTGTAGGAATGAGCAGCCTCCATCAGTGGATTAAAGCTTTGGATGCTGCCTGCTGTCGCTCAGGACTGTATCTGTGCTTTTCTCCTGCACTATGGAGCCTCTCTTTGGGGTTGTGCTGGGCTTGATGCTGGCAGTCGCTTCACCAGCCCACGACAGCTGTACCTGTGCGACCAACAAGTGGGCAGTGTGTGCCCAGGACGGCCCAGGGAACTGCACCTGCAGGCTGGCAGGTTCACATCACCCCGTAGACTGCTCGACCCTGACTTCCAAATGCTTTCTGATGAAGGCAGAAATGATCCCCCTGAAGGAGAAGCGCCTCTGGAGACCTCCCCAGGCGGTGTCCGACAGCGACGGCATGTACGACCCCGAGTGCGAGGACAGCGGCGTGTTCAAGGCCCGGCAGTGCAACCAGTCCGGCAGCTGCTGGTGCGTGAACACGGCGGGCGTGCGCAGGAGCGACAGGGGAGGCAGCGGCCTGAGCTGCGGCGAGCTGGTGCGCACCAGGTGGATCTACATCGAGCTGACGCACAGGAGGAGCCCCGGCGCCTTCGCCGTTCCCGCCGTGGCCGAGGCCCTGACGCGGCTCTTTGAGAGCAGGTACAAGCTGCGCCCCAAGTACATCGCTGCCATCAAGTACGAGCCCCCCCTCATCCAAATCCGCCTGGAGCAGAACAAGAAGCCCAGCTGGGATGTAGATATCGCTGACGTGGCCTATTACTTTGAAAAAGACGTGAACAATGACTCCGTGTTTCCATCCGACAGCAAATTAACTGTCTCGGTCAATGGAGACGCTCTGGCCATTGAGAAGCTCGGGATTTACTACGTGGATGAAAAGCCCCCAGAGTTCTCCATGAGGCAGCTGGCAGCTGGCATTGGTGCCGTGGTCACCGTGGTGCTCCTCACTGCTGGCATCGGCATCGCCGCGCTGCTCGTCCTCAGGTGGCTGCGCACAAGGACATATAAAAAATTCGAGTGTAAAGAAATGAGGGAAATTAAAGCCCCAAGCTTAGAGCTGCCCTGAGCTGAAAGAAGAATGGCAACTACAGGAAGAAAAGGAAAAAAAAAAAAGGCACAAAATACAAAGAACAGACTCGGTGTATGTGATGGATTTGGAGTTTTTTCCTTCCTGCAGGAATTTGTACAGTGAATGTTCTAAATTATTCTTGTTTAGTAAGAATAAATTTTTGGGGTAGAAATGAATTTGGGAGTCAGTTACCTAAATATTTTAAATGACTCCTGCTTTGGAGGGTAAGAAAACTGTTACAGCTGTCTATTTAACATAACACAGAAGGCTTTCACTCCTGCTGCAGTCCTGGCTCAGATTGCTTAAATACTTAAATACTCTGTGGGGTTCTTGGTGTATCTATTTACTGAAATTAAAACAGTTCCCTCAGCATATTTGGGCTATATTGCTGCTTTTCTCATGGTAGACTTTTTTAAAATGCAGTTTGCTTTTAGTTCATGAGGGCTTTGAAAACAAAAGTTTCTAAAACTTTTTTTATCAGCAAATAATTTCATGAATATTACTAAATAATCATATAAGATAATTCTAAGATACTCTGCAACATCAGAGGCTTTTACAGAGTGATTTGTTAGGAAACATCCCAGGTGTTGGGTCGCTTCCAGGGGCGGAGATCCCAAGTTCCTGGGTTTGTATTCAGGCAGCACAGTGAGCTATTCCCACTTGTGCTCTTTAATAAGGGTCTGACACTCCTCGTCAGCAAAGCTCTCTTGATCCCCATGCAAGTGTAAGGTAACCTTGGTGTTCTGCCCACATTCCAACTCTGGTAATAGCTTTCTGTCTACCTAAATTCCCTGGGCAGTTTTAATGGGAGGAGATATTTTTCAGTGTTGTACAGCTTCAAAGAAACACTGCACAATGCTCCGGGACAGGCAGAAAAAGAGAGGCAGAAACTGAGAGCTGTGGGGGGAATTTAGGAGTAGAGTGTAATTACTGAACTTGGAATTTGGCCAACACACAACTGGACTGCCTTGCTACCTACTCATCTGCTGCATTCCTGGTTTGGAGAGTCATACCCACCGTGAAGGACATTTTAAAGAAAATAATGCTGCTTGTTGAATGTTGGGATTTTGTCAGTTCCATTCTCTGTGCTGCATGTGGATGTCCAAGTCCATCACTCTCTCTGATTCCTGCAGCAGCACCTGCTCCACCTGGGCACTGCCACAGGCCCAGCAGCTCTTTTCTTCTCTGAATTAGTTTCAGTGTTGCTCATTTGTAATTCTAACAACAGTCAGCAATGTGCAGCTTCCACGGCAAAGCACCAAAATGCAGCTCTAGTTCTACTGAATGGAAAGGCTATCAGGGAAAAAAGGAAGAGGTTTGATTCTGATTCTGCCTTGTTTATAGACACTGTTGGGTAATTGTCGCAGACATTTTTTCACAGAAATCCTTTCTTTCAGACTTGTTCGTTTTCTGGGAAGCAAGGGCCCCCAGGAAGAGAATGTAAACAATTGTTATCAGCTGCTGTGAAATGCAATAGGATGCACCTGTGATTGGTTCATGTTCCCATGTTTATAATTAAAGGCCAATCACAGGAGCAAGCTGGGGACAGAGTCCCTGGACACAACTTTGTTAGAGATTCTTCCTTTCTATTCTTAGCTTAGCAGCCTCTGCAACTTCTCTCTTTATTTCTATTTAGTATAGTTATAATGTATTATATATCATATATCAATAAATCCAGCCTTCTGATCAAGAAACAAGATTCCCGTCTCTCCCATCCCCAGCGACCACCACAGGTCGCTGAAATAGGTAACAACATTTGGTTCAAAATGCACCACTTCCATTTGACCTCACACTTGTTCACTTACCTGCTGGAAAATCCTGGTTACACACTTTGGGGCAGATGCATCATGTTTTCCCAAAATAAGATTTGTATGCAATCACAGCTGCAGCAGCATTAATACATTCACAGTTTTGGAGCAGGGTCTGTAATTCATTGTGTGCCTTACAGCAACATGTTGAAGCTGGTTGTTTGTCAGTCAGGAATACACACTTGTCTGAGAGAAGATGAAGTGAGAATTTGAGATCTAGGCTGGATCTTTCCATGTCATAGGAAAACTCAGGACTCAGCCTAACTCCACACAATTTCACAAGTAGCCATTTAAAATTAAAAATCTAGAGCTGAGCAGCTGTCAGCTGAAGAAATGTAGGATGAGAATAAAAATTTTTTAAGTACACTGCTTAACCAATTTGTTAACTCATGCAGAGCAGATCAAAGCCCTGTGTTTGAGAGGCTGGTGCTGTCCTTCTTGCAGGGAACATGAGATGTACAGTCTTTTCTGGACATCTACAGTGGCTTTCACCAATCTTTTAAAATCCCTCAATTTTTCACTTTTCCATTATAGGAAAAAATAATATTATCAAGGTAAATGATGAGATTTCATATTATAACATTAACATTTAGACACAACATCAGTAGGAGAGGCTAAAGTGACTAATTGTTGAAAAAAATCTTAACAGGTAACAGTGTCAGCATCTTTCCTTGGCTCCTGCTTTTCTTTTTAGTAGCTGAGATTGAGAAGAGAGGCTGTGGTGGTGCCATTCAAATTTTTATTATTCATTAAAGGACTGCCCCTTGAAAGCCCTGAGTTGCGGTTGGTTATTTCTTTGCTAAGTCCTTCAGCACAGTGGACTGCACACTGGTCAGGGACTGGAAATGCCCTAGGGTTGGTTAATAGGAGGAATAAGGTATCTGCAGTTAATCAATAAAATGAGATTAATTGAAGTGCAGAGAACCTCTCCTTGGACTAGATCATTCTACTTGAATAAAACTGTGTAGAGCAACTGTAGGATGTGGACTTGAATAAACCAAACAGACCCATTGCTCCTGCTGAGTGTTCATTTCTCTCCTGCCACCTCTCACACCAAATCTTTTTTGCACATGGCAGATCTCATATTTTACTGTAACAGCCCATCACATTCTGCCTGTTTGACTTCTTACTGCTCCTGATATTCTCACTGAAAAAGAGACAATGAGCCCTTTTCCAGCTTTAAACTTTGCAAAATGAAAATGCTTTTTACTATTCAGATTTTGAGGCTGATAACTCTAAAATTTCTAGCTATTTTTTCCTGATTACATCATTTTCCTGTTTTAATGGAATGTTTGCTCATTTTCTTTAAGTAATTATGCCCTGTGCTCTCTGCAGTGGGTTCTGTGGGTGATAGCAGAGAGTGCCTTTGTGCTGCTGCCTAGTTGGGTTGTAAAGGGTGTTTGCTTTAACAATGCCAGAGCTGGCTGTTACCTAAATTATGTTCTGCAGTTCCAACTGGCTGCTTTGGAAAGCTCAAATTAAACACATGCAGAGAAAAAAAATCCCCTCTCTGCACTCCAACTCTGAAGAGGTCAGTGCTGCCCTGTGCACACAGTGCCACTACCCCTGGGCAACTGCACCAACAGAGATTTGGCCTTCACTTTCAACTAAAACTTTTGTACCACTCACGATCTGAGCACAGTGCCAGAAGCAATGGCAGCACTACAGCAAGGAAATGAAAGATAAGGATTAAAACCCTCTTAAACTCTGTTCTCTCTACTCCCCCTGGTAAAACCCATGTCTGCTGATATCTCTGAGTATGTGCCCTGGAATCCTCTGACACGAAATGCCCGTGTTGGTTGGTAGGTGTTGCTGTGTGCACACACCTGTGTGTCCACACCTGCATTAAAAACACACACACACATCAGTGTTTGTCAGAGAGGGAAGCCCTGGGGAAAACTCCTGGCAGCAGATCCTCCTCTGCACTGGCAAACAGTCCAAGCTGCTGCTGCTGCTGTGGAACAGCAAAGAATCCTCTTTTTGTCCCATCTTCCCTCACTTAAGAATTATCTTTTAGGGATGTTTAGAGTGGGATTATGCCAGATGAGAATCTTACCGACTGCCATGTCCCTCTTGAAACACCTCTGGGATGTTATGGACACCTGGAGACAAGATCCCTTCAATGCTTCTTAGAATGTTTAAACCTTGGGGAATCATCCTGGAAAGAGCCAAACCAGTATTTACTGCTCAAATATTGAAACTACTTTTTCAGTGAACAGTTAAAGAAGTAACAGATTGGTCCTTCCTCCACTTCTTAATTGGGCCAGTTAATGCTATTAAAGAGATCTTCCTTATACAGGTATAATTATCCTTTCCAAAGCATTTCCACTGATTTGCCTCAGGGTTTTAAATACTGCAATTACTTTTTTTTTTTTTTTGTCAATGCTAAAATTGATCTTTAGTCATTACCATTGCTATCAAAGCAGGAAACACGAGTTTCCAGAAATTTTACTAATATTTTTCAGCAGCTCTAAGCAAATCTCCTGTACCAGGCTTCACCTAGTTAAAATTTCATCCAAGCCAGGCAGCCTGACAAGATCCAGATCTCATTTGCATGATGATCCCTGGTCCCTGAGGGATGACACTCCTACAGCTCCACTCCAGCTCCAATCAAGCACCTCAGAAACAATTAGGGAGACTTTGCATTATCTAAATGAAAGATTGGATTATGAAAATGTGCACTGCTAATTTTCCACTGAGGTTTTTGCATGTGGGCCCAGCACTACTGGTGGCATATGCACCCAGCCTTTTTCAGGTGGTTCTTTTGAGACAGATTTTTCTTTTGAGATAAATTTATCTTTTGAGATAAATGCTGGACCTTGTAAGGCTTGAAGTGAGAAATCTCAGCACTTTTGCTGCTCTGGTTGTACCCAGAAAAGCTGCTTGGAACAATTAGAAGGCAACAAAAAGAGCACTCCTTATTTCCAGCCTCTTCCCTCATGTTTTGGAATTAAATTGGGCGTTGAATTTTATGACAACTTTTAGAGGAACAGTTTTACAGTAAATTTCTGTTTGGTTCAGTAACTTCATTTTCTGGATTTTAAACCTACTTTTTAAAAAACATAACAACAGATAATATGCAACAATAGTTAATACCTATTAAATTCTTAAATAATATCCTCTAACTGGTATCTCAGTGGGGAAGGGGAGGGTAAAGAACAATTAGTGCATAACACAACACAGTGGATCAAGGCAGGATATTCTACTGCACAATATTTGGAAAAAATCTTGACAATAATGAAAAGCATTGTCT